TATTTAAGGAAAACCCTGCCTCTCTGCTTCCCTGCGCACAGTTTACTGTCGTAGGCTACAGGAAGATCAGTCCACATAAAGGGTGAAAAAACAGATCCTTTTGGAGGGGGGGGGTTTGTTTCCAGCTTTAGTCTGTTAAAATGACCGGCTGCACCACACAAGACTTTAAAATTGTCGCTGGAAAAATAAGTCTGGTTGCATTCCAGTGGCTCTGTGAGGAGGAGTGTGGTGAGGCTGGTGAGGACTCAGGGATGAAGGTTCGGGATGACTGCATGGGAGGCTTCAGAGACCACACACACACACACACACACACACACACACACACACACACACACACGGGCTGTGTGGAAGTGATGAGTGACGCACGATGAGCGATGGATAAGATGTAAAACAGGACAAAGAAAAGAATCCAGGATCATCCATCATTTATTCAACACTCATGATTTCATTTTGTAAAAGATGTTTCTTTACATGAACGTGTTATTAAAAAAATAAAACTGATGCTCCTCATACATCTGAGAGTCGAGTTAAACTAGAATCAAGTCCAATCCGGTCATTTCTTAATGAAGATCTTTTGGATGAAACCCCCCCAAAAAAAGACTTTTTGGAAAATTTGATGAAATAAATAAATAACATAATTATCTCAAAGCAAAAACTGCAGTAGGCTATATCTTATATTGATTCAATGGCTAATCATTTTATTTGCATAAACATAATGTAGTTATACTTTGCTTCAGGTTTAACATCTTGTAAACTCAGTGACGGCCCAACGCGAGGCTTTCACATGACTCTCTGTTGTGTGTTCAGACAGACAGTCAAGTGCATTTGTCTTTCCTCTAAACTCTTGCACATCCCGGAGAACGACAGAAAGAAGCTGAGTTTCTGCCTGAACACACTTTAGAAAAACAAGTTTCCTGCATTTAAAGATGGTGGCTGCACGGACATTTGAAATGCAGTTAAATGCTGTTTTCTACCCGTTTTATGTTTAGTTTCCAGACCTGAAAGAGGTCTGAGCTGCTCCTTTAGACTCCTCATCATGTTTCGTGCTGATCCAGCTGCCCTGTTTCTCTGCAGCTAAACAGTTCTCTCCTCGTCTACCTCAAGAGAAAACTCAGATTTATATATCCTACAAACAAAAGTAGCATTCTTTTCGTGATGAGTGGAACAAGTGGGTACATCTGTCCTAGAAAAGTCCTTTACAATAATCAACTACAAGTGCACCGACTCCCACATTAAAGGAAAAAGAGCCTGATTGCAGGAAGAGAAACTGAATCCATTCTGTTTGCTGGCAGCATGAAGACGTCTCTTTTCTATATCGCAAACGATGCATGAAATGACTTATTGCTTTGAATATTTGTTCTTCTTCTACACGAGATGAACAACTTTGTCTCCTCACACTCCGCGGGAATCTTTCAGGACGGTTTGGTGTCGTAGATCACGACAGGCTTCTTCTGTTAACACTCACCTACTGTATCAAAAATGAATAGTGCATTTTACAGTGTCACGACTCAGCAGAGGACAGTCAGAGTCCAGGTCATTCCTTCATCCAACGAGTCTAAAGCCTCCGATTAAAGTCACTTTTTGAAAAACAACTTATTTAAACTGGCTGACTAGATGCTTCTGCTGCCTCCTTGCCTCCTTTCCTCCTCTCTTAGGTAGACTCTTTTAAACATAGTGCAACACTGCTGCCAGCGGTGCACTCCGCTTCACTCCTCACACTGCAGACAAAGACGACACAATCAAAAACAACGAGCACACGTCTTTGTTTTGGGGTTTTGTAAATAAGCAAAACACGTTCTCTGAGTTTGAAGTGCGTATTCAGTGATTAGCATGTGATAATATTCATATCTGGGCTCCTTCATGTTCTCCATTTCAAATGTAATTGTTTTTTCCAGGATGTCTTGAATGCATGTGAAGTTCTTCATATGTCATAATAAACACATCACTGACTGACTGAATAAACAATGAATATATACCGGAGCATGGAGTGATGCACAGCAGCCTGCAGGAGCACAGAGAGAGTGAGATTATACAGACTCTGATCATTAGTCAAGTGTTTTAAAGTAGTTTATCAATTCAAAATGAGAACAAATCATTTTCTCTGTCTGTTTGTATAATCAACACCTTTTAGATTTTGTAGCGTTTTTGTACTTCGTTGAACAAAAGAAGCACTTTGAAGACGCTAAGAACGTGTAAAGGGCTGAGAAGGTGAGTCGATGAACTGATCACCAGAAAGAAAATCAATGTTGATCAGTGATCAAATGTTTTAGTCTTTATTTAATTGTAAACTAAACTTCTTTGGGTTTTCGATGGTTACTTGGATAAAACGAATGTTTTGAAGACGTCAGTTTCGGCCTTTGTAACAGTTTTCTCACATTTTACAGACTAAATTAACAGATGAATACTTTTTCTTTCCCATGAAGAGTTCCGCATCAACACAGTGACCTTTTTAAATCCAATTTCAAACCCTTCTGGACCGGCACTGACACCACTTTTAATCTCTATCAGCCTCACATACCTGGCACACGTCACTGTCATGCACACCCCCTGACCTCTGACCCCTTCGTGCCTAGAAACAGTGGCAGTGCCGCTAACGTACACAGCGCTGCCCTGCGGCCGACCCGTCGCACCACTCTCTCCTGCCGAGTGTAATCGAGACGTTGTCACAACGCTGCCGTGACGTGTTTACACCGACTGCTGATTTATGCGGCCGAGAGCATGCCACGTCCCACCGGATCGTCTCTAAGCTAAACACAACCCTCCAGTGGAGCTGGCTGTGGCCCATGTATGGGGCGAGTGTTTACCCAGCGCCCATCAGTCTGACTGCTCCCAGGCGACGCGGAGCAGGAGGCACTGGTTCCTGAACTGGGACGGTGGAGCTCTTAATCATCCGGGCGGCGGATTCCGGGAACGGATTAAACGGAGCGGCGTTATCTCAAGCACCACTTCGTCTTCTAACGTTTACACCTGAGCGCCTCTCTGGTGGTTACCCTGGAGAAATCACCACAAACTGCCCGACATTCAACTCCACAGTGAAGGCGGATCGACCCCTCACTGTGGGTTCACACTGCAAGCAACACGACCAGCAACTCAGCAGGAGACCGTTTATTTCCTGCAAAGATGAGCAACAAGGAATTCATTAAAAAACAAAAACATCTGATCAGATTCTCATTCAGATTTGGTTTTTGTTCCTTGAGTATCTAACATTTTAATTGCATTCATAAACAGATCAACGTGAACCTTATCGCCACCAGCACCAGCGGTCAATGAAGCTGTAAAACATGAATTTGTATTTGATTATTTTCATATAAACGACTTCGTCAAGTAGTAATTTAATCATCACGTTACTTAAACATTACAAATGTCAACAAACAAATCACTTGAAAATGGCGCGTTAAAGGAACGACCCTCACGATAAGTCGATGGTGAATCATCGGGATCAACGTGAACATCGGCACGCGAGTAGCTGAAAAGCTTTCAAGCTACTCGCGATGAAGAAAGAGAAATTAAAAGGATGAAGAGAGCCGGATTAAAAAGAAATGCAAGAATCATCCCGTAAGAAAGAACCAACTCACACTGCTGCTGTTTAAAATCAATCTATTTATCCTTTATTCATGGAGAAGAGGCTTCTGATCTATTACCTGATTTAAGATTATAAGATGTTTGTTGTTGGTGTTAAAGTCTTATCTGTGATGTAATAGAATCATTTGTTTAACAAAATAGATGGTGAAGTGATTTTCGGATGATTTTGGCAGGATAACCGTTGCATGACGTTCACAGGCTTCTGATGCTCATTTTTCTCTCTTTTCTATTTTCTATTTTATATATTTAACGATTTAAACAAGACAAATCAAATATAATCAAAATAAACATCCGTTGCTGCCCTAACTGGAATATGTTGTCAAACATACGCTGGCCAAGCTGCTTGCAGTGGGAACACAGTGGAGTAGATGGCAACAGGCAGCGAGAGGAATGTGAAGCTCAGTATTTGACTGGAATATCATCTGAGATCATCACTGCGTCTCTGTTTACAGCCCACACGTGTCCATCGCTACGGTGCAAATAAAAAGAAAGAAGCCGAGGACTCAAGCCACCGGATCTACAAGCGAGTTCATCCAAAACTAAGTTACATCAACGTAAATCCTCAGTGAAAAGAACATCAGAGCTTATGATACTCAAAGATAAACACACAGCAGCATATAGTCCATCATGTCTGTATCACGGGAAGGCCACTTTGCATTAAAAACTATGGCGGTCAAGATTACAGGTCAAAGGTTATCACACTACTCATGTGCACAAAATAAACTACTTAACGTTCCCAAAGAACCACTTTCACCGTCCGAGCATCTGACGAATACGTTTGAGACAAGATCTAACGAACAACTGGTTGATATTCGATTGGTGGGCTGTACTGATTATGATCCTCAGCGTCTGTCTGTGAGTCTGTCTGTCTGTCTGTCTGTCTGTCTGTCTGTCTGTGAGTCTGTCTGTGAGTCTGTCTGTCTGTGAGTCTGTCTGTCTGTCTGTCTGTGAGTCTGTCTGTCTGTGAGTCTGTCTCTGTGCAAGAATCCTCCATTTATTTATGTTTTAGTGATAATAACGACCGTAAAACTATGATTTATTTTTTATAGTTAGAATAAACTTACATTATTAGATGTTTTTGAAAGAGCTTCTATGTTGTGTGTAAATCTGTATTTGGTTGCAGCCACCATTCCATCCTCCTCTAGCCAGCAGTAAGCTGCCCCGTCCAAGTACAACGAAGAAACAATAACCGGTGACTGTACAACGAGGGAGGACGATGAACAAACTAAATCAAAGAAGGGAAAATAAACTGAGTTTATGAGCTGATGGTAATGACGATGATTCTCACTGTGCAAAGTCCAGAAATGATTTCTCATTTCTCTGAGATGATGACATGAATGAAATGAAAGGCAAGACGGTTCACCTCAAGCTTCAAACAATAATTCTCCTAATATATATATATATATATATATATATATATATATTTATATATATATTCTGATTAACAACCACTGCTTCATATCATTTTGTTCCCTTTGTCAATAAATTATTGAGTAAAATTACACAAAACCAAATATTATCATATAGTACATGAACAGAAGAGTTTAACATGACGGCAATTTAAGTTTCTTTTTGATTTTGTGCATTTTTAAAAAGGCAATGTGCCTTTTAATTTTAATTTTACAACAATACATTTTTTGGGGCTCAAATTGATGTTGGAATGACATTTTGAGAAGGCAGCTGTTACCTCTCTGTGTCCAGATGTCCAGAACCATCCAGAGGTTCTGTGAGCGGAATCACAAACTACTCAGGGGTCTGTTGTTGTTGTTGTTGTTGTTGCTGTTGACAAGTGTCTTTTGTTAGTTGTTGAGTGTGGCTGCCTGTTCCTTCTCGGCCTTCTCTTTGGCCTTCTCCTTCTCTATCAGCTTCTCCTCCTTCTGCAGCATCACCATGATGTCGGCCACCTGCGTGGTGGAGATGTCGATGTCCTCCTTGTCGATCAGTTCCACCACCTGGGACAAGAACGCAGGACAGAAGGAGTTCATTCAAGCCTTTCACAATGTGGTTCCAGATCTTAAATACTTCTGTGCGTTAACAATGCAATTTTTTTCAATGAAAATGAGAATAATGATGTAATAATTATCATTATTATTTTCCCAAATCTTATTGCAATTGTAAAAATCTGTCAAAATGATTACAATTACATGTCTTCTAAAATGGTTCGGCCCTACTTTGGAATATGAAACCAGACTGTTGCTGCAGCTGGAACATCAAACACGACGATCAGCACATTAAAAGATGTATTTGAATGTTGGAGATGGTTATTGTTCATATTTGTATCAAGGGTTTGACATACCTTTGACTTGAAGCTGACGTTTGGCTCTAAATACAATAACTAAGTATAAAATGAATCCTATTAATCAGTCAACTTATGACTTATCATGAGCTAATAACCACATGTAGAATCCTGATCTTAATTACTTATATTCTAACTGTGCACAAATTCAACATGCACCGACAAATAAATGTGTTAAAACTAAATTGTACTTGCGGTCATTAAAGTGATGTGATTTACTATTTATATGGAAAATCACAGCGCTGATCTTTAACAAACCTTTTTCTCTTAGAAACAAATCATATCTCGTAAATTTAAGAAACCACAAAATGAAAGAATACACCACGAGTCACTTCCTGTCCACGTACTTTGATGACGTCGTCGATGTCGATCTTCCCGTCCTTGTTGTCGTCGAGCGCCTTGGCGATGCTCTGCAGCTTGTGCTCTGGAATGTTCTGGATCTGCCGCATGATGTCGATCAGCTCGCCGATGCTGATGAGGTTCTCCCTGAAGGCGTAGAACAGACTGCATACAGGAAACGGTGTGTGTGTAACCAGGTGCAGCGAGAGTGTGGCGGAGAAGTCTCAAGGTCGACATGCTGCTTTTCACGGTCCCCAGATCACACCAATCAAACTGATTTCTGTTTTCTTAAAGCTTCATTTCTAAACATTGCAGTATAAAATGTTGGTCAAAGCTGCCTCAAAGTTAATTCATGCTCCTCAGAATGATCAGTAGGGATGCACCGGTACCAATACTGGGCCGATATACTATATGAATTATATACTAGAGTCTTTAATCCCATCAGTTTCGTACATTTATCTCTGTATTTATTCTTCACATTTTGTTGAACAGTCAGAATGAGTGAGCCGGGCCTGACGTCGCCTTTCACAGAACAGGAGGGATCCCCGTCGCTCCCACACAGTGAGGAACACAACGTATTGATCGATCGCTGCTGTTGGATCGGTTCTGGGGATCGGACCGGTGCATCCTTAACTAATAGATGGGTTTAAATGATTCGTTTTTAAAGCGGGTAAATATCGTTTTATGCTCAGAAATGGCAGCAAGAACAATCAATTGAGCCAATTCTTATTTCAGTTATTAAATCAGACTTCTAATAGTTATTAATGATCAGTAGAGGTCCCACATCCCGCACAAAAACTAAATAAGTTTGGACTTTCTTAAATCTTTCAAATCGAGCAGTTTGAGTTCGATCTTTTGTATTCAAACTGGTTTCATTTATTCGGGAAAGTTAACGGTTTATTAAAGCGGCAGCGCAGCAGCCGTCAGGGAGCACCTCTGGGTGTTGGGAGCAGAAATGGAAGCCGGTTGATTTTTTTACAGCACAATGTTCAGCAGCTGACGCTTGAAAACCCACAATGCATCGTTAGCATTTAGCAAGCAAGCAGATGTCGGTTGGCCACAGTTCAGCTTACCTTCTGGCATCATTATGTTTAGTAAAGAATAATCTGTAAAGTTTTAAATAAATTAAAATTTGGTTTTTCATTTGTAAACTCAAAGCTGGCATGATAAGTGACAGCAGATGTTTTGTCCCTTGTTTCATCTCCACCAGCATTTTACAGTGAAAGTGATGATGATGAAGATGACAGTGACAGTTCCTGTATGAAAACAGACATATTAGACATATAATAACATTTTAAATAACTGATAAATAAAGTGTTTTATGTCATGACGTCATAAAGCAGCAGCGGCTCAGGCGGGACGAGCTCCAGCTGTTATGAAGTAAACAAACACAAACTGTTGCAAAGCCACATGGGAGACAGCAACGCTTTCTTCTTAAAGACAAAGTTCGACATTTTGGGGAATATGCTCATTTATTTTCTTTCCGAGAGTGAGATTAATGATAACTGTACAGAGCCAGACTAGGCTAGGTCTTACAATAAAGTTAAACTACAAGCATTGCTGGACTTTTGAGTTCTTCAGCTTCAAACTAAGGAAGATTTTCATTCTTTGACGCTCAAGAGAGAAAGCAAACGAGCATATTCCCTAAAAGGTTCAGACGGGAAACAACAAGCATTTTAAAGCTTCCCAAACTGAGGCGAAGCTATGTCATAAACAACTCTGAGACCCATGGGTTTATGCAGCATACATACTGTATTTCCCTCTTGTTGTTCTTAATTATTATTTTCAAGCATTGATATTTGAATTACTGTCTGAAGTTATTGTATAGTTTGTGTGTATGCTTGTGTAAAAGTGTTTTATGGATTCAAAAGTCTAACCAGGGACATGAACTGCAAATTAGCTACGGACAGAAGTCCTATATACATTGCATCGTTGTATTTGATTTAATATGTATGTCCCTGTCGAATAAATGAATTAAAAACGGATGGTTTTACCTCTATATAGTCTCTATACTTCAGCATGTTTAACATGACCAGTGCTATAGTATTATGTGTGTATCACAGCCTGATGTACCTTCCTTCTCTGTAGTTGTTAAACTATTAAAAACACATCATTGAGCCTCCCTGTTGGTCCTTCGTCACCGAGAACACACACATTATGGTGTATTTTGACTCAATCCCACATTCACCATCCTGCTACCACGAATACCCACAAGAGCACCAAATGTGGATTAATCCGCCACTTAAAATAGTCCCCAACAAATGCCGTATTTGGTCCCGTCTGATAAAAACGGCTGTGACTTTTTTATATGTTTGTGACGCGTTTTTCATGTAGAGACCACCGCGCTTCAAGAGACGGACAAACATATTGTTCGTTTTGATCTTTTCAAGGATTTTGTTGACAATATAAAATATTGAATATTTCAAACATATTACCTGTAAACATTTGTACAACACGTCTGTACATTAAGAGCTCGGTAGACTTCACTGACTCTTCTGAACCACGACAGACACAGTGTGGGGTTTGAAGTAGCACATTCAGCTCTTACCCGACAGGTGGGGTGGCTCCACTGTCCACCTGGCCGTCCAGGATGATCTTGTCCTTCTCCAGCTCCCCGATGATCTTGCCGATGCGACCGATCATGCGGTTTACTCTCTTTGACAGACGCTGGCTCGCCTTTGACTCCTCTAGCGCCTTTTCTTGCCCGGTCTTGGAGAGCTCCTTCTTTATCTCCTCCAGATCCTGGAAGCAAAAAGACAGAATACTCTTTAAACCTCTAGAACATTTGAATGGCAGTAAATCTCGTCTCTCTGTAATAACTACAAGTCGGGCACCTCGTTGTATTCCTGGACATCATCCTTCAGTTCTTCGAGCTCTTCTTTCTCCAGAGTCAGCAGCCTCTTCTGGTCCTTCAGCTTTGAGCACGCATCGCTCAACAGGTCAATCTCCTCTTTGGTGATCTCCTCACCCTGGAACACAAACGTATGGTTAAAGCCCCTAAATGTCAGAAACAACATCCATTACTTGGATTAAAACTTCTAGTAAAATGTCCTTTAAAACATACGATATGTTCTTAGAAGCAGACTGATTTAAAACGGCTTTACTTTGTAGAAACCGAATGATAAACATGTCAACTTATGCTCATATTTTCCCTCCAAAATGGATACAAAGTAGGGTCAAAAAGTCCATCCACCGAACAAGTACCACATGTGCATTTAATACAAACCCAAATAAGAGACCAACCTAAACACACAACAAGGGTAAAAGAGGGGAAGCTCTAGAGGACACTCCCCATAACCCCAAAGCACATGACCACAGGACGAAGAGAACTCTGTGGTGTTACAAACGCTGTGAGTTAGAGAGGGGAAAGGTTCAACTCTTCCCAGTGACATCGCCAAGAAGGATGGAGAAGGAAAAGAGGAGGAGTCCTGATAGATGCGGTCCAAACAGAATTTGCAAATCATATTTAGCATTTCTTCAACCTATTCAGAGCAACAGATGAGAGGCGTTTTCTTTAATAAGCGAGGAAATGCTGGTAAGAGTTCATCCCACTTAAGAACACACAAAGCTGGATTTGAGCATTTGTGTTTTGTCAACATTCACCTCATCAAGCCAGTAAAACCTCGCATTTAAGAGTTACTTGTGTAATTCAGAGTATCTCACTCCTACTGAACTTGTGATCAAATGGCAGTCTGCAAAAAGGTTTTTTAAAAATGCCAGAATTATATGCAAGTACTGTTTCCCGCTCATCTGGGTGGGTCCGCTCAGAGAAAGATTTCGTGTGCGTGCAGGGATGAACTGGTGGAGATGTGAGGGTCGGTTGGGAGGAAGACATCGTTAAACCTAACCTGTAAGCGCAGGAACCTCTGCCACTGTTCAAACTGCGTCGTGCAGAAGTGATCAAATGAAAAAAAGTGGCAACAAGTGAGTGAGAAATGAATCAATGAACAAGAAACAAAACAGCAAACATGAATGTTTTGCGCTGGTCGAGGGTTAGAGGTTCCATTCGAGGAAGAGTTCAAATCCTTTGTGACAAAAGTTAATCTTCTGTTACAAACAGTATTTGACAGTAAAAAGCTTCTGATCTCTTAACCCCATACAGACAATATTCTCATTACTGTTGCCCAAGACTGAGTTGAGAGATATAAGTTAAAAAAAAAAATACAAACCAAATTTAAGATACGATGACATATTGTATAAAACATGTTACAACATGTAATAACATGTAAACACATCGCTGATGCAGCTGTAAAGAGGAAATAGTTTGATTGTTTTTCTTTAGAAGTTTGCCAGAAACTTTAATGTACAAATTGCAACAAAATGTAAATTAATTTGCAAGTAGGATTTTCCTTACAATCAGAGTATAGATAAGGTTCCAGATCATAAGAAGCACTCGTGCAAAAATGGCAAACACAGCGCCGGGAAAGTCCAAATATAGAGCGGCAAAAAGCCGAGTGGCCAAAGCTCATTACAGAACATGAGGGAATCTAAGGTTGGCTTTCATCCGCTGGCGAGCGCCCTAACCCCCCGCTGAGCCGGGGAGGAGAGGCCAACTTTGAATGTTGTGCTTACACAACCGACAAATCCTACTCGTTGAGACTTTGACACAGATCTACTGATCTCACAGACTGCATGTGTGGAGACATTACCTTGATTGCCTCTATGACCGGTGCTGTGTCCCTCAGCGTCTCTGAATGAGCAGCCGTGTCCGCTTTAACCAGCTCGGCTTCAAACTCCATCTCATCCTGTGGAGGACAGAGATGGAGGCAACTGATTAAAGAAAGTCATGAAAGTGGAAGAAGTCCGGCTTATAATCCATAGGATAACACAGACATGGCGCCTCGTGCATTTAGCTAAAGTTTTCACAACTAAACGCGTGGAAACAAGTTGATCAGGATGGGAATAGTACCAGAACACTGTTACATAGAACTCTGTCGGTTGCATGCAAGTATCAAACACTGCAAGCTCCAAAACGTTGGTTTTATCACTATTATTTCATCAAATTGTTACTTGTCAAAGTAACTCAAATATTGTCTTGAGCAATACAAACTAAGTATGATTGTATTGTTACCCTGGCAGCCTTCTCTGCAGCGTCCGCCAACCTCTCCATCTCCCTGTCCTTGTTGTCCTGGCGTATGACCGCTTGCTCCCGTAGCGTGGTCTCCAGCTTGGCCTTATTGTCCACTTTGGAGAGCGCCATCTCTGCCACCATCAACTGGGCCTCCTTCGTCTGGGAAAGAGTAGGAAAGAGCAGAGTACTAAAAGATATAGAAACCTTAAATGCCCACTCCTGAGATACACCGCTTAACGTTCCTCGGAACTGAAGCCGTTATCTAAGACCTCATCAAAGCCACCAGACTGTTTCTGTCAATGGAGTCTTGTGGCTTTGAAGAGACAACATAGATGGACGCAACAGTTCCAGTGCCCTGTCTGACGGCAAGGTAAAGCAGTGAACATATTCTAAATACACGTTGTTTTTAGGTGTCTAAAATACGTCCACAGCAGTGCATAGCTTTGCTCTCGTGCTGGTACTCTGAATGTAATAAACCGACTCTGGATGAATACTTCATACAACCCCACTTCAAAACATCCAGACTATCCCTTTAACATACCACCATCTCGGGCAGCGTCTGCAGTGTGGTCTTCAGCTGGTCGGCGGGGGACAGGGTGTCGGGGAGGAACATGGCTCGAGACAGCAGCAGCAGGGACGTGGGGATCTGCTGCTTCAGATGAAGCTCGAGCCACTACAGGAGCCCAACAACATGACAGAGGTTATGACACATACGTGATCAAACATGGACAACAATAAGACCATTTCAAATCTCCTTCAACTTCCATAACCTTATTGTTTGAGTCTGTATAACCTCTGTGAACGAGACAATAGAAGAAGAGGAATATGCAATAATGCAATAATGAGACATCTTAAGGTGGTACGACTTTAACATTTAAGTTCTGTAACTGAGGAAAAAGGAATGCACGTGTGCCAAAGAGTTAAACCCTGAAAGTATCCTCCATCGCTGTCTGCTGTCGGTACCTGGATGAGTTGCTCTCTCAGTCGTTCTTCTGTGACTCCGAGAGACCTCATCCCTCGGGCGCGACAGGCTGCCTGCACCTCGTTCACGCTCAGACTCTCCACGCCTTCCTCCGCTATCAGCTGGAACCAACAGAGCGCACACACACAGCTTCTAATGATCAACCGGCTTCCATTTTAAATGGCGTCAAACATTTCAAACCAAAGTGAAATGCTCATACCTTGTCATCCGCCCGGATGGTCCTCAGCTTCATGATGAGCTGGAAGCGGAGGAAGTTGTTGGTCCCGATGGACTGGAGCTCCAGGAGACGGCAGAGAGCCACCAGCTGAGGTCGGGTCAGGTTGTCCAGAGTCAGCTCGTCCTCGAACAGTTTGGAGAATCTCATGATCTGCTCGTTACTGGGACGTTCCCCGGAGTCCCGGATCTAGATGATAAATTGATGACTTGTAACTCATTCTGGATGAGCGAAGTCGTGCTTCTGATGCAAGAATACTTGTTTTAAAAAACCTAAACCATGAGTCGAGACTACAACGGAATTATTATCGCAGAGCCCCAGTTTCTCTCTATCTGTCATCATTATGTGGTCCCTCCTCACTCACAAAACTATATTAAAATTAAACTTTAATACATTTACATTTTTGTTTGATTTGGACTATATATATATATAAAACTGCGCTCTTTCCTAGAGAAACATTTCTCTCAGGATAAATAAGACAGAACTTTATTAATCCCGAAAGAAAATGTTTAAAAGAAAACACATAAGTCTAACAAATATAAAGAGTAAAGGAGTTATATTAACAACAATGCAAAACAGAAAAGCAATACGAGTAAGATACATTTAACAAACAAGTCTTATCTTATCGTGCAGCTTTTCTTATAACTGTTTAAAATAAAGTTTTCAGAATAAATGCTGAACTATCCTGTTTTTACTTTCATAGAATAAACACTTCATTGTTTCCACCGCCAGAGGGCAGCACTGAGCACGTCTTCACTCCCTTCATGAGGCCTCAGCCAGCACAGACACCCACCTTCTGGAAGAAGGTGGAGAACTCCTCCGTCACGTTCCCCTGAGCCGCCTTGTTCCGCAGAGCGATCTCCTCGATGGTGTCCTGCAAGAACTTGGCCATCTCCAGTTTGACTCTCAGCTCTGTTTTCAACCTCTCCTCCTGAAGAACAGCAAGTTACAAATGCAATGAATCACTCTTCATGATAGCTGTTACAAAGGAGCATTCTGTTATTAACTATGTGGTCAAATATAATCTACTATTAATAGTCGTATTGCAGTATTGTTTTACAACATATGTGAGGTCAATGCGTCTGTATAAATTGGTAATTTATCAGTATAGTCTGCAAGAATACCGAATACTGGTTCCAGCTTCTCAAATATGAGGATTAGACTCTTTCCTTTGTCTTATAGGATAGTAAACTGAAGATCTTTGCGGTTTTTGGACTAAATAAAACAAGCAATTTAAATAAATCACCTTGGGCTGATCCATTAATCGAGAACATAGTCAGCAGATTAATGGATGATGAAAGTGATCGATAGTTGCAGACTTATTTGAGCTACTGTGTCTCAAACCAACGTGGACCTAAAACTGGGCTACAGCTTTTAAAATGTGCAAACTAACCCCCAGCATTGACTTCATGCATCTCGTCTGTATCATGTAGCTTCAGTCCAAATTAAAAGCTTTCGATTACCTTCTTTGACTTTGTCTCGAAGGTGGACGGCAGCATGTTGGGGAAGAGTTTCAGAGCGACGGGAAGCAGGAACTCCATGAAGGGGACGATGATGAACACCAGGAAGGGAAGGAGTCTGAAGACGTCGGCACATGTTCTGAGGAACTGGGGAGAAAAAAATGAGGACTTGTAAAGAACTGTGGATATCCTAACGCCCGTGGTTAGTATTGATAAACTGATGCCGCTGGTCTGCTTGTGTTTGGATGTGCGTCAGAGATTAAAGACGTGTAATGTTTATTTCCCACCAGGCTGAAGCTCGTCTCTGCCTCCAGCAGAGAGCAGCAGCGAGAGGAAAACGCCAGCATGTGAAAATGTTTACCTCATCTTCCTTTGTCTCTCGGTACAATCGCCCGGCTCAATCCCTCTAGTTTCAACAGTCAGCACATTTAACCCCGTCCCCATACATCTCCACGGCAACAGAAACCTCCAAATTCTCTGGTGTGTTGTTCAGCGCAGAGCCGTGGACCAAAGTGAACATTCTGCCTCACAAGGCTCAGGAACTGTCCTCTTAAGGCCAACGGGAAGCACGTCTGTTCTGCATGAACCTGAACAATCCTCAGAGTGTCGAGGCAGCAGGCAAACACTGGTCTGCTTCATTGTACAGCTGTCCGGCCGCGGCTTTGTGAACCACCGTCCAGCAGCACAATCCCAGCCAGCCATCTACAGAAACGTCCCCGAGGGGAGGAGGCCGGAACACGAGTCCTTCTTTCTCCACCCTTTCCACCTGCATGCCACAGGACCAGTAGGGTGAAGGATTTAGGCCAGCCGAGTGAAAAGGCCTTTGTCCGCAGCCCCATTGACATGTATATCATCTCCCAGAATTCCACATGAAAGGAGGGAGGAGGAAGGGGGGGGAGGGGGGGTGACAGATTAAAATAGAAGAAGCCTTAAACGGAGGCCTGAGAATCGTAAGTGAATATGAAAGGAGGAGATTAAGGAGGCAAATGCAGTCCAGGTTAGATGAATGGGGCGTAGATGGACTCTGAGGGAGTCAGCTGCATTTGAAAAGGTGCAGATGGGACGGTGGGGTGGGTTTAATGGGGGGGGGGGGATTAACACAATCACACAGAGCCGGAACATGATGAATGTGTATAGTGTGGGGGGTTTAAAGCTTTTGTTTTACATGTTTGTGGAGTTTTATCTAATGTAATGCTGTTACTGTGACGTTTACATGTTGTTTCATTACGTAATTTCCAAATTGTGATATTTACTGATATTGTAAAGTAACTGCATGTACCGATGCACTATTGCATTTAAGAATGTATTAAACTGAGATCAATTTCATTGTTGCATCTGTCAGATGAAGGGGATTCAAATCTCATTCTGAATATAAGTAATTCAGATGAACGTAAATGTTGTGAGTCAATTTATCATTAATCTTCCTCAATTATTAGCTATAATAAATGTTCACCTTTGAGCTATTATTGTGATCTTCTAAAAGAAGAACAACAGTCACTGAAAAAGCTCTTCTTTGTACTGTTGCAACATCCTTTAGCGTGCATGATGAGAGGCCCCACTGTCATCACATGTCAGTAAGACGAGTGTCAGTGTAACACCTTCACACCATTGGAGCAGCTATCCTGTGTTCTTCAGTCGAAGAAGATGATTTATACATAAACGCTCTCTTGAGGCTCTAGATCATTTAATCAAATATAAATGACAGCGAGGCTGGTGAGTGAATTCTGCTTATTTTGTTTTAACTCACTTTATCTGGTTAAATAGCAGAAGCAGTTGGGCAGCAGCAATGCTAATTCTGTCCACTAGGTCTGTACCATGCTGCAGTACTGAGAGACGTGAACAGTAAGTGTGTCCTGAGCTGCCCTGCTCATCTTCCCTGTAATGACCTCAGTGCCAGAACCTGCACCAGACTGCTGCAGAGCACACCGGGCCTCAACACACTCTCTGAGCATCAGACTGCAGGCGGACTCAGAACATTTGTTTAAAAAGGCTTTTTTAAATTCTGTTCCTACAGTAGTTGACTGTAAATCCTAAATACATGTCACCTAAACAGAGTGGATTCTGCGTCTGCTTTGAATTAGTTATTTTAAAACCTTGTTATCCACATGAGTAAATAATGGTGATAACGGCACCAATAGAAATGGACTTACACGGAGATTATAACCCTTTTAACATAATCTATCTATAAAAATAAGCCAAAGAAAAGGCCAAAAATGACACTGATATGATCCTGTCAACAATGTTGAGAAAGTTTGTCCGTGTGTTAACATTGGGTGAAGCTGAAGTCAATGTAAATGTAGTCTATTGAAACAATAACTTCCTCAGTGCGTGCTACATCGACCGAGAAAGCAGAGCTTTCCTGCTCATGGAGCTGCGCCGGCAGTGCCTACATGTACCAAGATGCATTGGGGTCCCCAGCGGCCGAATGCTCTTGCATTTTGCAGTTGTGATCTCAGTTTTCTGGGTCAATCACTGAGGCATTTATTGCTTCAGTCGACTACATCTACCATCAACATGAAAGGTGGTGACTGTTCCCTTTAGCTGAGGAGTTATGGAATCAAAGATGCTTCACATGAAGCTTCTTCCTGAGGAGCTTTACTCAGGCAACACTATCTGCTGAGCGCCTGGCGAGTACACGCTCAGCCAGTTTCTCTAATTGATCCCATTACGTTTGAGAAGCTGTGGATTAAACACTACAGAACAAGATGTCTGGGCTGTCAGACTTAGACCATGCACAGTCATCTCTGATGTCTAAACTCATGCTGGTTACCCACTCTGTAAACTCTGAGTCACACTGGAAGAAAAACACTTCCATTCACTGGAAACACTGGCTGGACACAATGTTTAACGACTTCTGTTTATGTTCAAGTTTCTGTAATTGGACAGACCTTTGAATGGTTTCTGCTGACAATGACAAACAGAACACTCTGTATTCTTACCAGATGGGGTCAAAATGTACCAGTAATTTAAGTAACACTTGAAATTCTTAGTTATTTCAAAACAATGGATCCTTGATTTCAGACAAAAGCAGGCTTCTCATTTCCATTTGTGACATGACAACAAGACTTGGCAGCTGCAGCTAGCTGGCTTTACTAAGCTACCATTAGCTCCATGAAATGCTTGACAGCGCCATCTTTGGCCGTCTTTTAAATCTTTCCAAGCGACTCAGTTGCAGACAAAACCCTGCAAAAGTGTCTCCTGATGACAACATGCATGATGTGGCACTAACAGACTAAAAGGCTAAAGCTGCATGTCCAAAGCCAAAAAAAATCAGCATCCACCCTGCTGTGCTGAGTCACGGTTGCTATGTTTACACAGACGATGTTCAAGGGGGGGGTTTAAAGCTGCATCATCAGTGGTAGCAAAGCGATATGGTGGAAAACTACACTGATCTCTCTGTGCCTTTTAAATAAATGCATTTAATAAAACCATAATTTGAACACATTTGCTCTCCAGAGAAAGCCTTTCATGACAGCAGGATGTCTACATTTCTTCCTCTGCAGACCTCACCTGTCTCCTCTCGCGGCGGGACAGCGGGTGTCCGTTCAACACCGTCCACAGCATTCGCCCTGCAATGGTGGTATCGATCCACAGCAGCCTGAAGCCGTGGTAGTAGTGCTTCACCTCATCTACGACCCACTGTCGGAGCGTCCTTCTCACAGGTGCTGCATCCAGCGTGGGGCTGTACACAGGCCCTCCTTCCTCCAGCTTCTTCTTATTGTCCTTTAACGAACGCAGGGACTTCTCCACCTTGGAGTCGTCCCACCTCCTCCTCGAGGTGTGTATCCACCTCACACCGGGGATGTCCTGTGGCCGCGCTATCGTCCAGTGGGTCCCCGTTGTGACTGCGGGGTACGCCGAAGAAGAGGCCCCCGACACAAAAGCACAGTAGAGGCGCTGTGAGTCCGGGCTCCGGCTGGGGCCCACATATCCATCCGATGAGGGGACCGAGGGGCCGAGTGAAGACACCTGGGCAAAGCTGCCAAGTCGTCTGAGGGAAAAATAAAACACTGAAATACAATATCAGCCATAAGAAAACTCAAAATATCACCCTATTGGTACATTTGAAACAGAAGTCAAAAAGATGATCTTTGGAAAGGTAAAGGTGTACTAGGTGTTGCATGCAACAGTGACAAAACACAAGTCACATCCCAGCTGGAATCAACAAAAGACGAGGACATCATAAAGATTACCTCCAGGTTAGACATGAGACAAATGGGCAGAGAATCGAAAATAAAGCAGCATCCAAGACAACGCTTTACAAGACCTCCAAACTGATTCAAGACATTTAATATTGTACCGCACGCTTTCTAAAGTCTTACGTTTTCATTTAATATAAGTTACTTTCACACGTTTGGAGGAAATATAGAGACTGAAGAAGCCTCGCATATGATTGGCTTACGTTTGACTGGAGAGTCTGAGAGCTGTGCAGTTGAAACAGGCTCCATCTTGTACTTTCCCTGAAAAGAAAAACACAACATGAGCTGATGTGTTCTGATAATCAGCCATTACACACACACACACACAGAGCATACATGGGGATTTTGTCAACTGCCATTGATGAGCAAACTCAGCAGCTTTCCACAGGTTGTGACAGGTCTGACACATGAATGTAACTTTAGTTCTGAATGAACTGACCCAGGTGTGAAGGAGCAGCAGCACACAGTGCTGTTATCTGGTTATGCATTAACATGATATGAAGTGAAGCCTCCTGATAGTGTTTCTAATCAGTGGCAATCTTGCCTCAGGCTTCATTCATGTAATACCTTTGTATGTCTTGGCATACGGCCTGAACGATTCATTCAGTCATCCAAAATATTCAAAGAATCACTTTCAGGTCTTTGCACTGAATTATTTTCTCTTGTGGTTACATTTGCCATTTTCATTTTCGTATGGATCATCTTTGCTATACTTCATACATCTGCCAAATAAATAAGGCAGTATTATCCTTCTGCTAATGTCTGTACAATGATCTGGATGTTCAGCCACCGTGAGGCCCACCGTGAGGCTCCCACACCCCAGAGGCCGCTGTCAGCGCGACACACGACGAGTGAAGGAGGAGTGGTGAGACACTTCCAACCAATCACGTCAGAGCACATGGCCTAACCACGCCTCTCCTCTGGCTCTCACATGGCCGGCTGGAGTAAATCCAGCAAGGCCTGGCTGAACATGGCAGGTAGGCCAGAGGACACCGAGTTTACTGGAACAGCGTCACCTCTGTGGCTGAAAGGCGGCCTACTGTAGCACAGAAAGAACAGCCTGGAAATACAGTAGATTACCGTAAACCTACAGCATTCACCTGAGCTGTACAGTCCAACCTCAGGCCTCTGTCTCTGATCCTCTCGGGGGTTTTACACTTTTGGTTTCACATTCATGTCTCTTTCAGTCCAACATTTGTCACATTGGGTGGACAATTTTGTAATTGTGGTTGCACAACTATTAGATATCACAATGGCCAAACTGTGGAGGATTTTTACTTTACTTTAAGATATTTGAAGCTACATTTAAAAACATGAATAGGAGCTTTGAATCTGAAAGAAATTGCATTCAGTACAGCCCTACACACACACACACACACACACACACACACACACACACACACACATACAGTATATACTGTGTATATGTTGTTAAATGAGAATCCGGAAGACGTATCTTAAATTGTTAACTTCCCCCGTCTGCACGGTTTAAGTCTCTGTTTGTGCAACATGGTCACTTCCTGCTGCGTAGCCGCATAATTACAGAATAGAAAGATCATGACTCATGCTTCAAACCTCATTCAAGGAAAGTAAAACTCAAGAAGATGTTCTTTAAGCTGTAATAGAAAACCCAAGTAGGTTTACTAGACATAGGACATATGTAAAAACTACTATGTTGCTACCATGTTTATTATTCTAACACTACCATATTCTTTGTCATCTGGATCAATGCTGATCAACTGTATCTGGTATTTATGAAGTACTGTCTACTGAACCTGCTGATCCAAACTATATGACAATATTTAAGATTCTGCACCAATCTTTATTGACTTTTTAAGCATCACTATTGCATTTGTAAAGTATTTAGTATGAATTGGTCATTTGTTGCTGATCTGGTCCTGACTCAAACTACACCAGGTCTGGCCTTGGAGGGTCATGACTGGGTCATGACCTGCAGGACTTTTACCTGCTGCAGCCACTAACTCATGTGTGACCTGCAGCCTGCAGCTGTTTCCTGCTAAAACACTTCCTCGTGCACTGTGTGTGCACGAGGAGCCAGTTCAACACATCACTTGTAAGAGTGAAAAGCAGCAAAATAACAGGACTGTTCTTACAACGGGACAACTCCCATCAAAGGTGTTTCTTTCCATTCGACACAGAACACTAAACAGTCCAATCTTGTGCTCTGAAGCCAGAGCCATTATGAGCTTCACCTACACTCTTTAGAGGTTTGTTAACTTCCCCAAAGGCCACTTGTACGCTAAAGCGACATGGACTCAAAACAAGCGTGTTTATTGGACAGTATGTTGGTACGCTCACTGTGGTTAGTTTGGATGTGTGCCTGACTCTCTGAGTATGCAGCTTTAATGGCTAATAGTTTATTGGTGCTGTGTTACACCATAGTAACACCATAATCTTTACTACTTCTGACCTTGCAACCTTTGTTTGATGACTGCTTCTAATTCACTTGGCCAATACTGTATGCTGGTCAATGTTCAGCAGTCAATGCAAGCCCGTTGGTCGTCCACCATACTACATTAAACTACTACATCACATAACAGCGCTCAGGTCAGAAGAATTGGTTGAGATTATCCTGTCTCAGGTAGAGTTATAAGAGGCACTGACCTTTCTTCAGCGCCACAATTTGTCTGATAGTGCGGGCCTAAAGCCAAGAGCTCAGTCCGGCCGGTGCAGACTGACAAACTGACCCTCTCATCTATTTATAAGCACAGCGATAATGCACCAACTACAGACATGCAGACATAAACTATTTCTTCTGTGGCTTGTCCTCTAATATCTTCCTCTCCACTCACTGACTCACTGTGATACACAGAAATACGAGCATTCCTCTGAAAGGATGGGAACAGGAATCACATTAATGTCGTGTCACTGAGTGTTTTAGTCCGTTAAAGTGGTGTAGATTACGAATATATTAGTCTTAACTTTTTATTCTAATGAACTGAAAAGATGGCAGCGCCTGCAGATGTGGCGGCTAGGAGCTCACTTAAGCTACGCTAAATTAAATTTTTTATATTATTTTTTTGCCTTTATTACCAAAGCACCAAAGTTTTACATCAAAATATTCAATATCTTAATATTCAAAATGTTATTGGGAAACCACACCTGTCAGTGTGTAAAGTACCTGACAAATGAAGGTGCCGCATTAAAGCAGCAACGATTGCTCTGTGATTAATAACATTTTCCACCCGGAGACATTGAAAGGACAGCTACCATGGTATAAACAGTATGGACAAATCTACATCAGATCTACAAATATTACAAAAACTGGTCAATTCTCATTTTGATTTCCGACAAAATATTTGCTGGTTAGAGCTTCACAAATACGAAGTGCTTCCTCTGCATCATGTCATAAAATGAAAAGCCTACTTTGTGTTATTTTGGCTATTGGTCAGACAGACTATTTATGAAGTACTTTGAGCTCAGACATTACAGAGGTAGCACAGACACCTTGTGTCACATGCCAGATAATGAACAAAGCCCCTATTCCCTATGTTTGACATTCATGCGTTTAGTGTCCGACATAGAAGTGTAATTAAACCTTTGACATGTTACTGCATAATTTAAACCGTTAACAGCTCCGTTTGTAAAGAGCACAACATCCCCACTGTGCTCTCTGCATCTGCAACATTCAACATGGCTGTGGCTCACATCAACAACAACAAACTGTGCTCCATGGTCGCCAAACACCAGCACCACACAGAGCAATAATAAAGCCATCTTGCGTTAGATACGGGTGTCTTGTGGATGCTGGATGAGCAGATGGAGAAACCCTGCCTGCCTGACACAACAACGACGACGACGAGCGTGCCCACAGACTGCAGAGGAAGGAGGGGGCGCGCGACGTTGTCCTCAAATAATCTGAATCCGAAATCGTGTTTCTCCCCTTTCTTTGAATCCTCACCAGAGAAAAGCTGCGGTGCCTCTCGAGCCAAGCGGTGATAACGCTAGACCGTCCATGCAACACAGCTTTTATGCAAAGAACCCGATGTGTAGCGTAGAATAATGAGATATAGGCGGTTTAAACATGTGATGCTCAGTTATCCTGTCAACCTTGAGTCACCCACCATCTTCCATCCAAGCTGACTCGGTGCTGCCGCCTTAAACACATCCTCTTCATGCTAATATGATTAACGTGCAGTGTTATTTCTTCTAGGCTCCACAGACATAATAAACAAGCTATTCGTTAACTAGAAAGTAATAAACGAACATAGAAACACTTACCTTTACCTTTCCTGAATTCGTTCTTTAACGACCTGGAGGTCTTCATTAAAGGTGCTCGAGACCTCGTAAACAGGATTAACGCCATGAGGCTTTCTGTTTGAACTACCTTTAAACAGTCAACGCTATATACAAGTAAGTTACACTGTTTGTTCCAAGATGTCGAAGCAAAATCAGCTGCTAACCGTGGTACATAGAAATACCCCCAATAATCTATATATCCTTGTGTACTTTTAAGAAGCTACGACGCATGTATAACTGAAGTTAGGATAATGTAGCTCCATGTCATGCCCTTCCCTTCTACGTAGATGACAACTAACCGGACCAGGCTGCCACGTGACGTCAAACTAGTGTTGTGTGTTTCGTTAAGCAGCATACTGATCATGTGATGGGGAGACACTTCCGGTGTGCTTAGAAAATAAAAGCCCCGTGTTTCCGAATCAGAATCAGAACCGTTTATTTGCCAGAGTATGTTGCACATGCAAGGAATTTGACATGGTGGATGGTGCATAATATTAAACAATCAACACAGTGCAAAAAATAGAAATATATTATAATTTACAATAAAATATAGTGCACAGACAAACAGATAACAGTACTTTAACATAAGAATAATCCAGGTAGTCTTTTCAGTGAAAAACTATGTCAATAAAAAATATTATCCTTTTATTAACTCAAACTTAAGTAACATGTAGCTATTTTTGTGGACATAAGTGTTTTTCTGATCAATTCGAGTTGTAATTCCCATCTAGATTGTACAGCCTAAAGATGACCATAAATATTCAATTTAATTCACCTTTGATCCAGTTACTGCTCCAGCAAACATGATGTTGGGTGAGGGGGTAAATACACTGGGGCAATGCTTAAATAGACTTAACAATGGTACAGTATGCGCAAACTAAATCCATCACTATTCGCCCCGTCCTCATTACCACAACTGAGGCCCCTGAAACCCAACTGAGCTGGTGGAGCTCCTCATCGGCCAACAGATAAGACATGTGGACATCAACACTGAAACCTATTGTGCCGGCAGGAGGCAGCTTCCAGCTGTGATTGCAGTGTATGAGAGAGGCCAAACAATACTTAAGACTTCCTAGGATAGATAAAGGAACTGTGCATAAAAATGGGTCTCCAACCACCTTTTTATTTGTCATTCAGAGTAGTAATATTGCATCAGGGATGGTGGCTTTTATATTGAAAGGCAAACGTATGCAGGAAGTGGCTGATATTATTTCAGATGGTTTCTGGTCTCACTCCCTTTATCTTCCTCTGGTGGCGCTGCAGCTTGAATTGAATGTACTTCATGATACTTCAGTGTAATTCATTGTGTTATATGCATTGCATTTATTTGGGATCAATGCGGATACTGATCTTTAGATTAAAATGTAATTATAGGACCTCAACTCTCATTAGGTCTCTGGTTTAATATGACCAGTGTCATCCTCCAGAGGAATACACCAGAATGTTAAATATACACCCATGACTATTGTATAGATATTGCATTATAAAGGTCCCAGATTCAGAGTTGTCACTGTTTCATCTGATCAACTGTAAAAACTTAATAAGTTGCCTAACATGAGACTGCTTGGACTGACTTGTGGTTGAGGGTAGGTTAGGTTATAGTTAGACTTTAACAGTTTTTAATGTAAATACATCATGTACTTACTGTACTGTACCAGCCTGCTATTGTTTTATGTATTAATGTTATGAAGTGGACATGTATTTGACGGTGGCATACTGATATCATCTTCATAATAATAATGATAATCATTTTATCAAACTTTTACTGATGTAAAATATGGTTTAAGTGTTAATCAGAATCAGCTTTATTTGCTGACATAATGCTGCTGTGAATGTGTGTGCATGTGTGGGTATTCTATGTCTTTGAGTTGTAGGTGCAGCTCCCTGATGAGTGATTGAGGGCACCTGGATGAAGGTGTGGGTTTTACCTATAGAAGTGCCTCCTTGCTCCGCCCTCGCTCTCTCTCATCTGCCTGGCACCAGACCCTGGTCTTTCGTTAGATTTGCACATTACAGTTCATTTGTGTCCTGTAACAAACTGGCACCTGTGGTTTTTTAATCTAACTTGGTGTTGTGTCCCTCCTTATGTTGCGACTTCCGAGCCGGTCGTAACAGTACGTATACATGGAATTTGACTCCGGTTTTCACATTGCTCCCAATGTAATAATACAAATAAAAAAGAAAAATATTTTTAAAAAATGACATTAAAGACAGAGTAGAACAGAAAAACTAAGCATAAACATTAAACATTTAAATATAAATAAATATAAATAGATATAAATAAATGTAAATAAATACAAATAAATAAAAAATAAATAAATATAAATACATATAAATATACGTTTGCTATATATCAGTAGTCACATCTCGTTTACATTTTTGTTTTAAGAAACAAATAAACATACATATAGTGTCTGTAAGTTGTGAGCACTAACTATTTAGACGGGAGACACCGAGGTCAGAGGTCAGCTACTTCCTACGGTTGGGTTTTTTCCTTCTTCTTCTTTGAGGTTTATTGGCGGTTGGCAAACAATGAATTGGTACATTAGCGCCACCAACTGGTCGGGAGTGTGGATCAGGATGTCTAGTACTTGTGGGTTTTTTGAAAGGACCGGTTGGAGCCTCTCTGAAGCTCTCGACCAATCGGAAGTGAGTATTTTTCGCGCTGGTTGGCCGCAGAGTTTGAGTTTCCCGCAAGCTTTTGATTCGGCTTGAATGAAATCCTTCGCTTTTTACATGATGAATACGGACATATTTCCACTTTAACGACCGAGAGGAGACCCAACAGGTAACTACAGAAGAAACGGTCTTTCATGTTATTGTCATCCCGGCGGATATTTAGCCGGCGCAACCAACCATTTTAGCGAGAGAAGACCTGCTAGCTAGCAAGAGAGGACCTGCTAACGCAAGCTAGCTAGCTGACTGCGCTAGCTAGCTTCGGCTAGCTAGCATGGTTAGCTTTTCTTTTTTTTTTATTAAACGAGCTGTCATGGCGCCTACAAATTGAGTATAAATCAGCGAAAACAACAGCACAACAATTTTAACACATTACTGCAATAATCATCAAGCTGTTACGCACATGCGTTTATTTATTTAGTCACGTGTTTTGTTTTTATCGGGTAGTGTAAAATAACTATCTTCAACTATCCAGCAAATAGTCCAAGCCGACACCCCAAAGCGACTTAGACTATTTGCTGGAGTGCGACGTAATGGATGACTGTAGCAATGACAGAGATGCGATTGTACGTAAAAAAATGGTTAAATTAAATGTAAAATGCACAATATATACAATGAGAACAGAGTAAAAATATTAGATATAAAAAAAGCACAATATATACAATGAAATAGAATAATATTCAATTAACTAACTTACTAAACAGTAGTGCACATATTAACCACACAAACAAACAAACAGTGTTATAGTTGTGTGATTGATTTGGCCAGAAAAATAGCCAATGTAACCTGTTAAGCTTTTTAACTGAAGTGGTTCAATTACATAGATTATTCGCACCCCAATAGCATTACTCCGACTTGTCAACTGCTTCCATTTCCGCGGCTTTTACGCAGCACACTTAGCCACCCACTCATTGGACATTCGCTGCATGCGGTGGAGCTTGCTTTGCAGCACAGACTCCTGAATTCTCCACACCGCTTTGCACACAGACGGCAGCTAACTAATCCTTTCTGCAGGAGAAAGCAGACTTAAAATTGTCTCGGTCAGAGGTTTCCACCCGTGGTTTTTGTTGGTGTGCATGGATTTAATCAAGATTTGACTTGATCTCGTTCACATTAGTTGTGATTAGAGTATGTGTTTGTTTTCTTTTGGTATACAGAGGTATTGTTGCTTCAGACTTTTGGTCGATCGAGACACTCGACTTTGTTATTTAAAGCATCCAAAGCTTCGGAGATAGAACATTCCGTGACAGGTGCAGTTTTCTCTGTCGCCTCCAAAGCTCACTGTTCATGCTCTGCTGGGGCAAGTGAGTGAGTGCCATTTTGTAGAATGTGTAACGTTATGCTCCTAGGATTCATATCCCCAGAATGCCATTTTACAAAGAGCAGCAAAAATGTATTGCATGCTGTGTTGATGTTGTCTGATGGAACCTGTGGAATAAGAAGTTTCTGTTTCTGTGCTGTAGCTCAGTGAGCCTGGAGGGGGTTAAATGGGATGGACAGCAAAGGTAGCTCCCTGCCTTCGATGCCCGAACCAGCCAACCCGATCAGCATGAAGCAGCCACCGGAGTCCCTCGGTGTACGGAAGGGTGGGGGGGACATGAGCAGTGACCCTGCTCTACTAATAATGGACAAAGCTGCCGCCCAGCTGGCCGCCACACTACAAGACGGTGTCCTTCAGAAGATGGCCGGCCACAGTCATAACAACCACAGCCACGAGAGGCTCAAAGACCTCACCTCCCGGGTGCTGAATGGGGACCAAGACACGCTGCCTAAGCTCTGTGCTCCAGAGCCACCCATGTTTAAGGGTGCCGAAGCCCCTGCTATGAATGGCACCCATCAGCACAATTGCACTCCTCATACTGAACATGAACTGAAAGCGATGATACCCCAGGTGGTGAAGCAGCCGTTGTTTGAGCCGTGCTGTGCCAATAGGACCAGTTTGTCCACGGCCACCGAAGATGCTATATCTGCACCGGAGAAGAGGCAGGATCTGAAGAAAAGGAGGGGGGGGCCTCACAAACCAAACCTCGGTTCTTCTGCCGTTCCGGTGGAGCCACTTGACCGCACCAATGCTGGAGGTGGAACTGGAGCAGCTGATGAGGTTTTGCTTTTATTCCTACTTTTTTAAGAAACAAAGGATCCATATTTTTTTTTTAAGTGAGAACTTCTGTTTGTCTGTGGCAAATATATAAACGACTAACAAGACCCCAATAATGTGCTACGGTTATGCTGACAGATGGTATTCAGACAAAAGGACCATACATCTAAATTTGAACAAACAGCACCAGGCCTCCTATGGACAGCTGAATACACAGTGAATGTTTTCTAACAGAGATGTTACATCTTTAAACTTAAATGAACAGCTGCAGAGACTCAATGTATTGCATGTGAATTATTGTAAAATACTGATGGATAAGCATATGTGTGTGGGAACATAGTTGATTTTAGGAAGGAACGGGTGTTGATCCTTGATGAGTTTCTATTAGTATCTATTTATTTACTCACTATTCCTTCTCTTCTCCAGCCTGATCTCATCCCACAGCTGACGAAGGAGGATACACAAGAGTCCCCTGTGCTGATCAGTTTTTCTGTTGGTGATTTGGTTTGGACCAAGGTGTCGGGGTACCCCTGGTGGCCTTGCATGGTGACCACAGACCCAGAATTTAACAATCACATCAAACCGAAACAGAAAGGTGAGTTATGGTCTCTACCACCTGCATCCATTTGCATTAAGTGATGTGTTGAAGTAAAGGAGTCAGTGTTTTTATACCATTATTCATTTTATTGTGTTTTCTTGTTTCTGTTTTTAGCCGTCAACAGTAGGTTGGGCCCCCTTTACCATGTGCAGTATTTTGGAGACGCCCCAGAGAGAGGCTACATCTTTGAGAAGAACATGGTGTCCTTCACCGGGGAGGACCAATACCAGGAGCTCAGCCAGGGCAACAAACAGCCAGCCTCTCGCGTCATACACAAGAAGGTAAATTGGCTTCTCCTCCTATGTGATGTCCCTGCCTGTTGAGGATGTGGTCTGCTGTCGTTTAGAAAGACTTTGCTCAGAAGTGTTGCAACATCAAATCATTGCACTTCCTTAAAAATTTTTCTATAAAGTTCTCTCGTCATTACATTTCTAGAAAGTTGCATTCCAAATGAAGAATCGGGCCTTTTTTAAAACGGATACATTTGATATCAAGTCCTCTCCTGCACAACTGTCACATGCTGCTGATCACGTGTGTAATTTTGTTTTTAAATATTGCCCACAGTGTAAAATGTATTTGTTCATAGCGCTCTCTTGGTAGCAACACGTGTTCCCCAGTTGAACACAATGATTAAACATTACGACTTTGTGTCTTGTATTAAAACCTTGGTATTTTCTCCCTTTGCCGTGCAGACGGCTCCCTCTGTGCCCCGTAAACTCCAGGCTCAGTGGAACATGGGAGTCATTCAGGCCAAGGAGGCCTTCATCATGTCACTGGATGAGCGCATGGTAAACTTCGCTTTTCTGTACGATGACGACGGGCCTCGTCTGAACCCCTGCATCCTGGAGAAGCTGAGGCCAAAACAGAGCAACGAGATGGACCAGGAAACGGAGTCTAGAGTCGGCCCAGACCTCCCTTCACTGCCGGTGGGCCCTGCCGACGACCCCACAGCCGCCTCTCGGTCCCAAGACAGCACTTCAACAGAGAAAACGCAAGCACCCAGAACAAAACTCAGCTCGGGAGAATATCGAAGAAGGGGCAAAGGCCATCTAAATAATGTCCTGTTGAAAAACAAAGTTTCTTCCAAAGAAATACTTCATCCGCAGCTGGCCTCACAGGTTCGTTCGGACAACTCACTAAAGTGTTTCATCAGCTTGTGTTTTTTTCATGCAGACTCGCAGACACCTGTTCGGAGAGCAGGGACACCTATGAAATGATAAATATTGGACTTAAAAGTTCCGAAATCAGACTAAATGTAAAGTGGACCGTAGTCACAGGAAACTTCATTTCAGCTCAGTATAACTGGTACAAACACGCGAGTGGTTCATCTCATCGTTGACCCGCGTTATAGCTGCTGCTGTTGTGAAGAATAGGCTTCAGGTATAAATTCATATTTTAACCTTTCAATGTGAACTAAAATTAACAAATTCAAGGTGTGAAAATACAAAGAGCATTCTGGAATGGAAACCGTTGTGGAACCCTGATTTTATGATCATATTTCGGCAGCCTAAGAACGCTTTTGCCTTTTTAAGATGATGCCTTTTGATACATTTGGTTTTTTTTATAGGATCCCACCACTTGTGCACCAGATCTACAAACTGAAACAGTCGTACCTCAGAGGAAGAGGAGGAGACCCAGACAGGCTCAGTCTCCCACAAAGACAGTTAGGAGAAGGAAAACATCTGCAACGGACAACTCTTCTGACCCCGGGAAGAACAGGAAATCGGAGCCGGTTTCTTCGACAGACAATATAACGGAGCCGGTCTCGCTTCCAGTTTCAGCTCCAGGTTGGTTGAAAGTTGAAACCCGGGCCGTGTGTGAAATCCGGGCTTGGCTGGTATGTGTTTACCAGAGCGGTGGAGTCTGCTGCTTAAATTGCCACATGTGGCTAGTAAAATAGTGACATGGTTGGTTATTGTGGAATTTATCACTTAATGTGATATTTAAGAATTCTCCCTCCTGGTTGTATAAAGACGGTACGTTTGTGTAAATAGTTTGTCCTTGAATGTATCCAAAGTGTGTTGATTTTTAATGTCAAATAACACCAAAGTCGTGCACAGATAATCACATTTTAATGACTATTGGCTGCTTATTCCCCAACTATTTACAAAGCACAGGAAACCAATAACTAATACTAATAATCCTCGCCCGTTGTAATATACAAAGAGCTTTTCGTTGACGTAGTTGCAGCGTAGTTCATTTTATTTTATTCAGCCCATTTGGGTGCTTGGCACATGGTGGGAGAAAGCTGTTTAAATAAATCATTAGGATACTCTTAAAGCATGTTGTGTTCTAACCATTAACAGCAGACATGAACGTCTAAATCTGAACCAAATCAGGAAGTTTGACCTTTTCTAACGTTTGTTTTTAGTGAAGAGGCACCGAAAGAAGAGGTCGCCGACAGACGCGACGGCAGACACGGTTCAGCTGCCTAAAAAGAGACGTAAAACAAGCAACGCTGCAGAGAAACAGGTGAGGTTTCCCTCTGGTGCAACGTTAGTTCAGAATCAAAACGCCAACTGTTTTTGCAAAGTAGTAGCTGACATTGAGAAGGACCTCACTGTGGAGACCCGTCTAGCAAAAAGTTGTTTAAAATGCTGCGGCAAGATGTTTTTTTACTACTAAACATCAATACTAAAATGCATAGTAAGCACTTTGTTATAAAGTGTTGATTTTGTTGTTTATCAGAAACCTTCCCAGGACTCGACCTCAGAAGGAACGGAGAAAAAGCAGAGAAGAAGAAAGAAAACCGACAAAGACGTAACAGAAACCAAGAAGAGCATGACCAAGTCTAAAGCTCCCCTCACCGGTAAACCACCCTGTTCATCTGTGTTGACAACTCTTTAAAATTCACATCTGAGACCTCTGCTGTTTGTTCTTGACTCCACAGCATCTCTTTATGTTATGGCTCCGCAGTACTTGGTTTGTCATTATCAAACACTTTGTCTCCACAGAAGAAGACACAGAGAAACCAAAGCGTAGGAGGAAAAGGAAGCAGGATGGAGAGACTGAGATCACACCCTCCAAGGCAAAGAGAAGGCGGGTCACCCCTTGTCTTGATCCCGAGGTGAGGGGGAATAACACCCGTTCAGCACGAAATGTCCTCATAAACATAGAGAAGGTTTAAAGTGCTCCAACAATTATTCAAAACGAAAGCCTGCCAGTGCAAGTTGTTTGGTATTATTTTAATTAAAGTGGTACAAACTGTCTTCAAGCATGAAGACGTTTGATTGTTAATCATGTTGCAGATTTATGGCTATTCAATTCTAATTGTTATGAATCAGCATTGTCTCATTGATTTAAAATCCCCCGCGTGTTGTTTGCTGCAGGGTTCTGGGAGCGAAGGACGTCCTGATTCTCCCAGTGACAGCTTAGACGGGACGAAAAAGGGCGAACGGAAGAAAGAGTTTGTCTGCCAGGTAACACTCCTTATTTAAATGTAGGACATTTATTGGGAAGATGCTGCTTCCCTTTGTTTCTAAATGCAAAGTGTTTTTATACAAACATGCTGAATCCCACTAGTCCTTGTATAATCATCTGTGGGATGTAAACATATTTTCAGCTTTAACCGAAATGTCTATTGTAAATCTCTATTTATTTATTCTCTCCCCTACAGACGTGTGAGCAGGCGGGGGAGGACTTGGTGCCCTGTGAAGGCCAATGTTATGGGATGTTTCACCTCCAGTGTCTGGGTCTGTCATTCAAACCTGACGAGAAGCTGCTGTGTCAGGAGTGCAGCACAGGTGAGGAGCTCACACTTTGTCCAGAAAACAACAATTTATCTCATTTCATTGTCTTTTTCTGACCATTAGTGGACGCTTGTTAACAGATCACTAACAGTTAACTGTCAAGAATAGTGCCTTGGAGGACTGAGACTTCCCCTTCCTGTTTCTCCTCTCAGGAATTCACTCGTGTTTCACCTGTAAGCAGCCGGACGGCGCTGTGCGGCGCTGCCACGTTCCGCACTGCGGCAAGTTTTACCACGAGGCGTGTAGCCGCCTCAACCCGCTCACCGTGTTCGACAACAAGGGCTTCCGCTGTCCGCTTCACGCCTGCCTGAGCTGCCACTACGGCTGCCGCACCAAGCAGAAGTCCACCAAAGGTGGGGCTCTTTTATTCTACTGTTGAGACTCTGTTACCTTTAGTGTTACAGCTGGTTGTGAGACTCAAGGTCATGTGCATCTGTCTGATCCGGTGTCTCTTCTGCTCTCTGTTTTGCAGGTAGGTTGATGCGTTGCCTGCGCTGCCCCGTCGCGTACCACGTCGCTGACCTGTGTGTGGCGGCGGGCAGTGAGATGATCACCAACACCGCCATCATCTGCACCAACCACTTCAACGCCAAGAAGGGCTACAGCCACCACAGTCACGTCAACGTCAGCTGGTGCTTCGTCTGCTCCAAAGGTTTGCCTCTCCTCCTCTTTCATCACCAAAGAGCAGTTTCAGAAGACTTCTATTGATATTGTTTTGTCTACTTAGCCAATCAGCACTTTAATCATTTTCTGAGTTTGTGTTAAAATTACACTAAAATCCAGAAAGAAGGTCGTAGAGTTTGTCGAGCAAGATTTAAAGTCTCAGTGAAACTAAAGTAAGAGTCTTTAGCTGCGTATTCCCCAGTGAAACTTCTTATTTGATTAGACCCATAAAAAGTGGATCCGGAGCTACAGAGGACTGCGTTGTGGTCTGCTTGTCACTCAAAGTTGCAGTTTATTAATAAACGATGTCATGATATTATTGGCTAAAACTGGTCGGATAAATTGCTTACGTGAGCACATTTCGTTTGACAGAAAGAAAAGATTATTGGATTTTGAGATAAAAAGAAATGTATTAGTTTTGCATATATTAAGTATGTGACTGGGGATGTGATCTAAAAGGGTTTTCATTTCTTTTTAAACCAGTCCTCCCACTTCATCCTCTCAGCTTCACAACTGCAACACACACTGTGTGTGTGTGTGTGTGTGTGTGTGTGTGTGTGTGTGTGTGTGTGT